TCACAAAATAATTATATATTCTAAGATTTTTATATGTTTGATGACATGTAATTTATATACCATCTAATCTTCATGAAACTCACTGGATTAGATGCTAATACCCTTATTCTGTAGTCAAGGACTCCAAGAATTTCAGAAGTGAAAAGTTACTGATTTGTCCTATGATATAAAGCAGGTAAATGGTAACACCGAAATCGAAATCCAAGAATGGTTTTAAATTCAAGTTAGTGGTCTTCTCCCTACAGCACAGTGTCTCCTATATGTTGGTATCACTAATCATTTACCTGAGTCAGACCTAGAAAGAAAAATCTTTTGTTAATCCCTCTGTTCATATAGTCATCAAACTCTAGGTTCACAGCGGGGCCCCTAAATCCATGCCCACACTGCTTCTCCTCCTCATTGCCCCCAAAACTTTTCTTCTGTAATCCATTGTTCTTTAAGGACACTATGACCCTCAGACCCACCCATATGTTTTTCAGCCTCCAATACACTCAGACCTCCAATTTGCCCAGGTCACTCCCACACACCTGTGTACTGGAAGAGCCCCCTGCAGGAAGCTGGCTCTGAAACCCCACCGTAACACTCCTAGGACAGCAGGGGAGCTCTCAGCACACGTCCCCCTGAGCAAAGCACTTCCCTCCAATCTACTGCCTACCCTACAGGGCTGGGGCCACCTTCAAAGTCAAGGTACCTGCTGGGGAAGACCGAAGGTGCGGATGTGGTCAGATTTGTTGGGACACACTGCTCCGTTGATAAAGGCAAAGGCCGTGACTTAGAATCTGGTGCAGGGTACACGAAGGCCCCTATGGCCACCCAAAATGACAACGTGATTCCAGTAAGGAGGCCGCCCAGTGCACCCTTGATGGTGGAAAAAGGAAACAAGTTAATGAGATTGGACAAAGCTGTCGGAGGAAAGAATAATGAGATGAGGTGTCCTCTGCCGCAGAGGCAGTTGCTGTCCACCGCCAGTCTTGGGCACAGACGTTGAAAGAGGCCCACACCTCCTTCGTTTCAACTGCCACAGGACACTTTGTGGAATAAGTTGCTCCTTATACTAAGACACTGAAGCATTTTATAGCAATGACTATGTTTCCATTTCTGAGAAGAAAGTTTTCCTCCTTTTAATTTCTTGCTCTTATTACTTTAATAGAGTTTAAACTTTTGAAGAAGAAATTCAGAAGTTAAGGAAAACCACAGATAATGGAGATGTTGCAGTGACATTGTACTAACAGCAATCATACAGAAAAGCTCACAAAGTCCCCTGACTCTCCAATTTTATAAGTTTTGTTTGAGTTAAATACTAGCCAGTGGCGTTAGCAGTGCTGTTGTTTGAGAGTTGTGTTTCAGGAGAAACAATGAGAAGTCAAGGACTAATTTCTCCGGTGAGTGAAACAGATGATCTTGCAGAGCCCAAGACCATGAAAAACGGCTGCTGAGGCTTCTGGTCTGTGCTACAAAGCTGGGCCTTCGGTGTGAGAGGAAAGAACTTGCTGGCTTCTCTAGCATCAGCACAAGGAATGCTAGACAAAAGGGCCAGAGTGCTTTCTCCATTGTTTGGGAAAATTAACGTACTGTGGCTGATTTAAACAGTTGTGCCTTGACTTAGACTGGAGCACTGCAAACTCATACCTGGCTTGTCCCCCGACCCTGCACACATAAATTAATTAGTTCAATAAGATGAGTTATTTTATTTTATTTTATTTTATTTTATTTTTTTGGTTTTTCTCTGGTACCGGGAACCGAACTCACGACCTTGCACTTGCCAGGGAGGAGCTTTTGCTGCTGAGCTAAATCCCCAGCCTCAAGATGCGTTATTTTAGGGAACTAGAGAATAAATGAAATTTATGTATATTTTCAAAATTTGAATTTTTAAAATGGCATTTTGACACACTATCTCCAGATCCACTTCATTTATAAGTGCATTTGGTGAGCCTTTAATTTAGAAAAGAGTCAGTGTTATGCTTAAAGAGTCAGTTTGGAAGGATGCTGTGACATACTGTAGTTCATGAACATCTCTTCCCTTCTGTGTTTATTTTGTTTCTAAAATGACTTCACCGAAGTCAGAGATGGGAGGGTTCAGATCTTGTTTAAATTTTATCGTGGACTCATCCTGGCAGAGACAAATAGCTTTTCCACATAGGGATGAGAGGAGAAGGAAAACACCAAGGTCTAATTTGAGCTAAGAATGGTGAAGAGGGGTACAGAACACTTACCTTCCAGTTCACAAAAGGAAACATGAGTCCCAAGGAGAATAAGCCGAGCATGGGTCCCCCACACATGCCCAGGATGCTGAGGGCAGCCTGTGGGACAAAGGCAACTGGTAAACCTCCTCTTATGGCCCCTGGGCCCCACCTGGACCAGCTCTCCTCCTGGATGACACCAACCCTACATCCTCACCAGGCTGTTCATCGACTGCCTGCTGTCTTTAAGCCAGTTGTGGGTCCAACAGTAACAATTGTATAAAAGAAGAAAAAGTATATATACACACACACCTGTGCCGGTGTATGCATACAAGTGTGTACATGTATGTGTGTGTGCATGTTTGTAAAGAGGGAAAATAGGTAAATTGCATTGCACTCAAGATGGAATTAACTGATCAGTCTTATCTTCATCTTAGCAGAAAGGAGTTTTTGGCTGGGGATACAGCTCAGTGGTAGAGTTCGTGCTTAGAGCACTATACTCAGCGTCTCCTATGCCATCCCATTAAAGCATGTACAGGGCTTTCAGGTAGCGACTGAGAAAACGACACATTGAAGATCTCATGTAAGTCTCCTGCTTGTGAGGCACCACCTACTTGCCAGGCGGTGAGGAACTGCCAGGCACCCTGACAAGTGGCCTTGTTTAACTCTCAGAGTTAACCCTTGTAGAAGAGAAAATTGGGGCTGACAGAAACATAAAAAGTCTATTTCCATTTAGAAAGTGGCAGAGGTAACATTTAAATTCAGCTTTTTATGGCTCTAAGACCCTCATTTTCTCTCAAAAAAGCAGTTTAAAAAATCAAGAAGTAAGTCACTATGATACTCTGTCTTGTTCAAAAGAGAAAACTGCTCTGAAGGAGGCCCCCATTTGTGATCAGAATGCTTGCATTCTAATCACAGCCCCACCACACATCACCAGGACCTGGTAAACTTCCCATTACTAACTCAAATTCATTCAACTTCAGAGTTGTCTTCTTTCTCCCCACGAATGTACAGGGCCAGCGGCCATCCAGTCCCCTCCGGCTGCCATGGAAGGTCTTTTGTCTAGAAAGACTGGCAGCACTGCATTGTTATGATCCTTTTCAGATTAAATTTCAGAGAACTCAGTGCCTCAGATCTGCCTTTGACAGGCTGCATGCAAGTGAGATCAGCGCTTTCCTTCCCCCAGCTTCGATCTTAGTATGCTTAGCATTCCCACTGCTGTTTGATGGTCACATTATTTCAAAATCTCTGTGCTTGCTGAATTTGGGATTTATGAATGATTATATATGCAAGTCAATAAAATAGTGAACACATTTATGTATCCCTATGGAAAAACAGTTGACAAACTCTTATAAAGTCACCAAAGATCATGCCTTAGGGGTGAACAAAATGCCTATACATGATCACAGGGAAAAAAGAATATAAGCGCTTCTGGATTTAAACATGTGCATATACACGTACATATTCAATTATAATCCTAGCATATATTTCTGTAGTGTGGAAGAAAAAATTTTGATTTTTACCCTTTTCTTGTCATTTTCATGTTTAATTGGAGGAAGAGTTAAAATTCATCTAACTCACCTTGCTTCTCAAAGTTCAAATCCAATCTGTGCTATTCGTACAAGTAGAGGGCAAAGGCTAAGTGGTGTGCTCAGGGGTGGAGGCTGCTTTGGGCTTCAGTAAGATGATTTCCATTGCTGTCTGTGCCTCACATTTCTCATATACAAGGGGGCAATACAATATCAGCTCCAGGTTTGGTTTTCTTGGTTTGGTTTGGTTGTTTTTTGATGAATATTCAATGTAGAATCCAAGAAAAGGCACAAAGTACTGCCTGACCTTCATGGAGCTCATGCTGGGGGCCCCAAAACATGGACTGCTCTCTTTCTGCATCACTGCTGTTACCCACTTCCCCAGCTCCCAAGCCCTGATTTCTGAACCATGTGCTCTGATTGTCGGAATGGGCTAAGATCTAAAGAGCACTTTCTAAGATGTGTCTCAAAGTCACCACAGAACTGTAAAGAACCAGCTGATAACACTCAGGACAGAATCATCTCGGGAAGAGTGACCTCCCTGTGGACGTTCTACTGACCCCCTGTTCATGGCAGAGCTGGCTGCTGCTGTCTGGCACGGCCCTGCCACCAAACCCTAGGAAGGCTCTGAGTCACACAGTTGTAGAGGGACACGTGTGCTCAGTGCTGGGTTCCCTTCAATGGGCTGAGGTGTGCTGTGGATCCGTGAGAGAGGATGCAGCGTGCAGCATGTTTCAGAATCTTTCACCGTGGAACCTGTCTCCCTTAACGGTTTTCACAATAGGACATTGTCTGGAATGGGTTTTATAAATGCTTAAAGTAAAGCAATGCCTTAGCACTGAAGAAACAACACAAAACAAACCAAGATCCCCACAGACACATGCTGTCGGTAGAGGGTGGTTTGGGGGCAACGTGAGATGAAACCTGGCTCTCTTACTTGGTAGGATGGGAATTTGTTTCTTTATATACAGGAGCTCAGATTGTACTGATTCATCAAATTCATTATGGCCCAGCTGTCTGGAAAATTAAATAAGCAAATTGCAGGTGACTCTCTGTACCCACCAAAGTCAGATGAGCTCAGAGAAATGAGTGGACTCTCAGAGACAAATACCTCACCCAGGAATCAGATCACGGTCTTATTTCTTGCACTCTAGCTTCTTCTGTGTTGTATGAACTGTGTGGCACACATTTTATCGAATGAAGAAAGGGGCCCGGGGTACTCCGCTGAATTAGCACAAGGAGGAGGGTGCCTTCCACACCCACCACTGACCGTAACTGTTGTTTCCTGGCTATCCTTGCCTGTTCCATAGCTCCTCACACCATCATTTCTGAAAATGCAAATATCTCTGAAGGATAGCAATTCAGTGATTCAGACGATCACCAAAGTGGAAGGATGACACTCCTTTAAGAGTAAGTGCTAGTTGCAATCAAAAAGAGAAAGAAATAAGGCACAAAGTATCCGAGGAAATTAGGAAATAGGGTCCCACATACAGGGAAATAAACCTTTAAAAATGCTTATGAGGACACTAGAGACAAACCTACCAGTTGCCAGTTCTGTGTGGTTGAGGAGCTTTCTGTGCTTCAAATATTGCAAAGAGATTATCAAGCATCTGCTGTAACAAGGAAGGCTCCTAGCTTACTAGAGAGGGCACCAGATTTCTAGTACCAAAAGTTATCTCCTGCAAACAAACGAATTATCAAATCACTCACCTTTCCCTGACATGTCCCTAAACTTTAACGGGGAAATAATAAAACCAGTGTAGGCAGTCTTCAGGTAGGATTTGCTCTGAAAACTATATGGCACTCCATAAATTCCTTGTTTACTAGGACCGGTCACAAGAATTCTACAAATACTAGCATTCTATAAGTAATGGCATTACTTTGCCTTACTGCTAATCAAGGAATTTATAGATTCCCTTCTATAAATTGCTACTACTAGTCACCATTAGGTGATTACTATCTACTCTGACTTGTTCCTTCAACTAACCTACATTTATTGAAAGCCTAATCAGTGCCAAAAGTACCTAAAAAGTGCTCAGATTTCACAAAGACACAAGAGATTAACTGAGGAGCTTGCAGTAGGATCTGAAGATTTGCTTCTCTGGTGATTTCTGAGCTGCACAATTTGGCGAGTGGGGCGGAGTGGTCAGGGACTCAGCCACTGTGAGAAAAACACAAGCAGGATATTTTCATCCTCTCGTGTCACCATTCGCAATGGCAAAGTAGTTAAAGGGCCATCCTTGGGCTCCTTCTCATCCTGATGCTTTATGTAGCTGGGGGTTGCACATAGGAGAAGCAGTTCAGCTTGGATAATAGAGGAGGGGCTGCATCCTAGTTCCACTCCTCTTCAGTTATGGGACTGTGGGATCATTTTCAGTCTCTTCATCTGGAAACTGATGCATTCCTTACACCACCTCTGACAGAAGGGATGGAGACTAAGTGATACATTTAAGGGTGTACGTAAACAGATTGCATACATGCAAGTGGTTATTATTGTTCTTATATTTTGGAAGGTGTTATTAGGATTTGGAGTTTCTCATTTTAACAGAATGTACTCTGTCATTATCCCACTATTAGTTTTAATAGTTTCTAAAAGCCGTTTTGTTGACATTTAACATGTTTGTCATTCGGACCCCATGTTCAGCAATGTAAGTGCTAGGGCTTGGGGCATAGGCCACACCTGAGAAAAGAGAGGGGGGACTCATGTGTGAAACTGTGACTTCTGGCCCTGCGTTACCTGTATGACACTCCCCAGGAGGGAAGCCAACACAGCCATGGATGTGCAGAGAATGCCAAACAGGAGACCTGGAAGAGACAAAATGTGTGACCTTAAACTTCCCCCAAAGACTCTTGGCTTGGAGGCATCCCCTGAGCCCCAAGCAGAACGGTGTCTCATGCCAAGGGACAGCAGTGAGGACCGTGCTGCCACCACAGGACTGCCCTAAGGAGACCTCTCTGACAAGCACACCCTCTCACGCATCAGGCAGAATGAACGGGATTTCTAAGACTTCAGAAGAAATTCGTCACACGGAAGCAACAGGAAACTGTGGAAAGGGACCAACCAAAGCCACGCTAATGAGTGGGAGTTTATCATGGGTCAACATCTCACCACCTCCGAAGGGAAGAAAGGAACCTCCTTGGAATTCAGACAGATTTTCACCTTTCAATTTCTGTGTAACACTGTGCTCATTCTCCTCAGAGTTGTGCGATCCTGGAAAGTTTTTCTGGTTTTTCCCTTCAGTGGTTTATTCATATCATCACCAATGTGCTCAGCTATATCACATAATGATTGCTTTGTCCACTGTTACCACAGGAGCTTCAATTATTACATTCAATGAGCTTATGAGCTCGCGTAATGAGGCAGTGTATATTTTTAGTGAGTTTTAAAGATGATGTCTGCTTTTAAATGATCTTTTAAAAATATCGATTTCTGTATACCTTTCAAAATCATCTTAGAAGCACACCTAAGTACATTTTGAATTCCCACATTAACCCATCAACTAAGAAAGGGAGAGGCAGACAAAGATGTGGAGACAGAGATAGACATAGTGATGGAAGCAGACAGAAGCCTGCTTTGTTCATTCTCTCTGAAGTCTGTGCCAGCAGAAACCCAGCTCAGGTTCCAACAGGATAACTGGATCGGTTGTATTGAATTCCAACCAAAGTCTGGGCTGTAACTAGGCACCGGTGCTATAAAATTAGAACTTGACTCCTACCCCAAGGACCTCCCATTCTGACAAGGAACTAAACACCATAACTTAGCTCATCCACCAATCTAACCTAATAACTCTATCCAGAAGAGTATCTGGTACTGTGTGCTAGGTGTTTGTCACTACTGTCTTATCATTTTGTTTCCAATTTAATATATGTTCACTGATCAGATATTCATTATGATAAGCTCAATCTTGAAATCAGGATAGCAATTTTTAATGCCACATTTTCTAACTTCTCAGTAAGCAAAGAAAAAAAGGAATTTGCAAGAACACAACAAACCAAGTATGACCAACAAACACCTGTCAGAATTCTGACATGGGTGCCCTTGTCTTTGCATGGATGGTTAGACTGAAGAAAACAACGATTGTCCTGGCTCCACATTGCTTCGTGGTAAAGGAGCGCTCTATCTTCCTGAGGTGCAGAACGAAAGAAGTGTTTTGCTGACTGCCATCTTGCTGGGTCAACAGGTTTTTGTTCAAATGAGATTCGAGGGCAGTCTTCCCTCACTTTAACTTTTCTGCTGCTTTGTACTGACAAAGGATTGATTTCGTCAATATGAAAAGGTGGGACTTTAAGGAAAATTGGGAGTTTCATGGTTTTAGATGTTCACCTAAGAGACTCATGCAGTCATAGTCCACACCCTTGGAAGGGGGCTGGATTATGGAGGCTGACAGCTGATTGTTTCTTGGAGGTGGAATCCAGTTGGAAGAGGCGGGTCACTGGAGCACAGCCTAAAGGGATTCTCTTCCTCCCTGCCTCTTCCCTTGACCTCTCTCTTCTTCCTGGCTGCCACACCTTGGGCAGCTCTCCTCCAGCAGCCCCTCTGCCACGCTGCCCGGCCTCAAGCAGCCAAGTATGAACTGAACCCTCTACAAACTGAGCCAAAATAAACTTCTTCTTTGAAGTTGTGGATGTCAGGTATTCTGTCCCAGTTATAAGGAAAGTGACAAAGACAGGATTCCATTGAGACCCACCGTGTATCACCTCACGAACAGAAATAAAGATGAGATGGAGAAAAACTACCCTTGCTATTAGTGCAAACTCAGATTGGGAGTAGAGAAAAGCAATTAGCAACTAATTAGTACAAGTTAGCAGCTAATTAGTGCAAGTTAGCAGCTGAGTATTTGCCATCCATTGACCTGCGTTCAACTAAATTCTATGAGAAAGTGAGGTCAAGGAAGGGAATGAATATATTAATCTAAAAATTTCAAATACTCAGTAAACAGCATAATTTCTGGAAATAATTCAACTAGAGAACCATCATAAAAACCAGCACTTAAAACTGGCAATTTCAGTATGACAGAAGAATACCTAGGCTCAATGAAGCAAAGAAGTATAAGTCAGTCAAGGGAAAATAAATGAGATTTTTTTAAAAAGCAAGAGAGAGCAAAACAGCAAGTTTAAATGATGACACATTCAGGTGTGATAAGAAATCAGTAAAAGGAAATTAAAAACCGTGGTATTCCTAGAAATTTCACTTCTAGCATTTTACCAAAGAGCAATGAAAACATGTTCACAAAAAGTCTTATACAAGATTATTCTTAATGACCTCAAACTGAAACAGCATATATCCCACAATAGAAATAAATTGGCTTTCCATGCCCATGGTTCCACATCCACAGATTCACCCAACTGTGGAGTGAAAATATTTTTAAAAATATATCTGTACAGAGCATGTACAGACTTCTATTCTTATTCTTACTCCCCAAAGTATAGAGTACAGCATTGACACAGCATTGACATGTATCTTAGTTACTTTTCTCGTTGCTGAGACAAAATGCCTTATACCCAAAGTCAGAGGAGGAAAAGTTGTTTAGCTCACAGCTGGTAGTTTCAGTCCATCCTCCCCTGGCTCCACAGCAGGGTGACATAGCAGATAGGCATCACAGAGGAGAAAATGTTCATGGTGGGCAGAAGATGGCAAAGCAACAAGGGATGACCATAGCTCTTTCTACCCTTTATATTTTATCCAGGCTACTTAGGGTAAGTAGCACCCACACCCTTAATTCTAGTGCCATTGAGCCTAGCACTGCATCATGAATCAATTCCAGCATCACACACTCTAGATCCAGCCACCCCTGAAAAATTTCCACCTATGACTGCATGAGGGTTGGAGGAAAGATCTAGACACAAGCCATAATAACATTGTATTAAGTATTATAAGTAATCTGGAGATAATTAAAAGTATACTGGAGGATGTGCAAAGGTTATATTCAAATACTACTCCACTTTAAATAAGGAACTTTTATAGTTATTCTTGATTTTGATATCCACAGGGTACCTTGGAACCAATCCTTGGTAGATGCTGAGAACTGGCTAGAGATAAATACACAAAAAAATTGAACCTGTCCTTCTCTGATATACACAAATGTGGGATTCCCATATATGGCATAGTCAGCATCAGCAATAAAAAAGTAAAGAAGAGTAGATGCACAAAGCAACAGGTATATTATGAACCTCAAAAACTTTGTGATGTGAAATGAGTCTTTTACAAATAAAGAATGGGTACTCTGTGATTCTACTTGTACAAAATTTGAGTAAAGGAGAAATTAGTCTATAACGGAAAAACCATGCTATTATTGCTGTCACAGAGCAGCAGGAGAAGAGAATTAACATAAGTGGCACAGGAGAGGTTTCCATGGTGACAGCAAAGCATTATATCTTAAAAAGTAGTTGGGTTACACAGGTACATGCATTTGGCAAACTGAGTATATCCACGCATAACATTTTTTCATTTTATGGGAGGTGACTTTTTTATATTCCTAAAACAATTTGAAATAATACTGAATTTTGTTAACAATATGCATGCTGAAATGATTAGGGGAAAATGTGCAGATTTCTGCAATTATTTTTAAATGTTTCAAAAGGATGATGGGTTAGCAGATGGACAGAGAGCTGGACACATGGATGCAGAGCAAGTTTAGGAAGACACCCGTGGAGAATGCAAGTGTGGGATGTATGGGAGTTCAAGGCAAAGTCTTTTAAACTTGGCCAGATGGTCAATTTCTAGAATAAAATATAAAGAACAAAGCACAGTAGCTGAATTAAAATTATTATTATTAAGGGATTTGGGTTTCAGAAATTTCAAAATAACACTGAGAAAAACATGAGTTCTTTATGCACCTGAGGGAAAACAAAGTCATTAAAAGAAGAGAAAAAGTAGAGGATGCATAAAACAAACAACTTATATTAGAAGAATAATCAAACACAAGAGGAGATCTAGCTGCAAGGGAGTTGAGACAGGACTAAGTTTGAGGCCAGACTAGGTGACATAATGGGACCCCAGCTCTAAACAAATTAACAAGTAAGTGTAAATAACGATGTAACTATTAATATTTACTGCCAATAATTGTAATTCCTACAAAACCAATTTACATTGTGTGAATCAGCAGAAGTTAAGCAAATGACAAAGAACCTTCCCTATGTTGGTAATAAATGATATTATAGGAAAAGGATCTTATCATAGTGTCAAGGAAAGGAGGAGGAGGGGTAGAGCAAGGGGAAGGAGAAGAGCAAAGGCAAGGAGGAGGCACAGGGGTTGAAGGAGGAAAACATGCATACGATCCAAATGCAAGTTAGAAAATTCATGAATAAATGGAAAGCATTAGTGATACTGTTGAACAGAATGCTTACAAAGATGTCCACCTTCCCCAATACTCTTTCAAGTCTAATGCATAAGGGGCTGGGGATTTAGCTCAGCGGCACAGCACCTGCCTGGCAAGCGCAAGGTCATGAGTTCAATTCCGGGTACCGGAAAAAAACAAAAATAAAACAAAACAAAAAAGTCTAATGCATAGTTCATCATTTTAAAATTAATCTGGATGGATGACTGGGTGTGGAGAGCTGAAAGAATTATGTATAAATGAAAATATCAATAGAAATAATTCTGATTTTTAAACTAAAAGTGATAAATTGGTCTACCAGATATTTTAAATAAAATACTACAGAGCTATAATATAAAAAGATGGTGTTAGTCCTGAAATTTATAAATAACTTAAAGAAAAAAAGTATACAGTATGAAACATCATTTTAGCACAAATAACTTTATATTCTATATTAATATTGAAAAAATATTAAAAACTAGTGAGGAATACTAGTTAAGTCCTCATTCCCCAATACTCTAAGAAAATTAGTGATTTAAGAAAAAAAACCACTAAAATCCCCATTTTCAAACATAAACAAATAGTATATATACATATTGAATATCAAATATGAAATATAAAACTATCCGTAACCTAGGGAGAAATATAATTGAATATATGACTAAGACTTCAATGGAATAAATTTGTAAGTATAAAGAAATAATGAAATAGTAAAAGAAATGTTACATATATTTAATAAAATGTAAAATTGAAATTTCAGCATATCAAAAATATATTTTAAGAGCTGGGGATATAACTCAGTGGCAGAGCACATGCCTGGCAAGCACAAGATCCTGAGTCCAATTCCCAGTTCCAAAATATATACATTTTTTTTAAAAATTAACCTGGGGGACATTCCACAACACACATATAAAATCCTTTATTTCTTCACGCATAAAGAAATTTTACACACAATAAAATTTCTAATAGCCCTTCAACAAAGTATAAATAGATTTTTCACAAAAATGCAAATGTTACCACCTGAAAATATATAAATACATGATGAATCAGATATTAAGTTAAATTTTGATCCTCTTTACTCACTAATTTGGATAATTTATGAAAATACTCCTGAAAATCACATAAAGAAATATGTCCTCGCTCACTGCCACCACACATGATCTTTGATTCTCCCTACTAGAATTATCTTTCTTACTATTAGGAAACATAAGTGAATTTATGTTGTTCACCCTGAATTTCTTTTGGAAGTTCATATTAAGTAAAAATCATGCAGATACAGTCAAAGATTTATGTATATGAGTTTTTACACAGCATTATAAAAAAAAGAAGTTAAAGAGGTAACTAACATAAAATTAAATAAGCTCTTTCATAGATTATGAATCAGTTGATCATTCATGAATCATTCATAAATCATTTAATCATTGGAATACAATCATTTTCAAGGAATATGTAATAACACAGAAACATATTCACTACAGTTTCCCAGGGTAAAATAACCAAGAATAAAATTATATACCTATGAAATACATGATTCAGTGATTAGAATCATATTATGTAAATTTATTATTACAAAAAGAACAATTGTTCTTTGAAGTGAGGTCATTGAGAGTGCGATTCTAAGCATGATTCGTGAAAAAAGAAGTTGCCTTTTATTGGACAGAGGGATGGATGTATCAAGCAGAGCCTCTTCCTGTGTGGAGACTGATATGATCAATAAGGCATAACCAACAGGTGCAGACATGATGAATCTAGAGCACAGTGCAAGCAGAGTGTGTCTGGAAAGAAGATTAGTGGAATGAGAAAGGATGAGCACCACTTCCGGTCCCACAACCGCCACCACTGGCATCTTCGGAAGAGGGAAGAGTGCCTACACCCTTGGAAATGCACAGATGACATCCTTCCTGTGTCTCAGCATGTCTTTGGACTTGTAAGCGCATCCTGCAGACTGCATGCAGGATTTTGAGGTGTTCCCCAGGTACCTTTCGTGATACCAAGCAGAGGGCTCATCAGCTGTACCTACATAAGCCTTTACTGGTCCAGGTGCTCGTCTTGTCTGACAGATGGGGAAAACAGCTCTTGACAAAATCCTCAAACGTCACGGTTGCTAAGGCATTGATGCTGGCAGCCACAGTGCTACAGGGAGAGAAGAGCAAGAAAATGGTCCAGACTCCGTAAGGCTGAGCTCCCAGCCTGCCGTGACCCAGGGACCAGGTAGGGCTCCGTACAGACAGATGCAGACACAAGTCCGTGTTCTGGAGCTGCAGGCCCCCACAGAGGCTGTCCACTCATTCTTCAGGGCTTTTGTGCCAATGCTTTTTCAGTTCTTCCACAAACCCCAAGGGAGAAGGTAGGCGTTCATGGTTTGATTCCTATTACTTCATCTTAAGTATTTAATGAGTTAGCAGAGGGTAACAGAAGGATTATATGTGTGTGCTTAGGTTGGAAAGGAGGCGGAAAGTAGAGCCCATCCGAACCCAGGAGTCAATTGAGTTTGTTATTCATTAATAGTCAGTCTCTTCATACATCATTTTATTCATTCTGGGTGTAAGGCATACATACAATGATAACCTGTGAGGATATGAATCTTATACCCTAGAACACAGATATTTCACAACCACGTATGCAACTGATTACACTTGGGAAGTGCTATGAAAGAAAACAACAAGACGCTATGAAGGCACTGAAAGACCCAAACCAACAGTTAGAAGATTCTCCCTTAGGAAGTGACAGCTACAGGTAGGCACAGAGATTATCCACGCAGCGTAGGGACGGGAAGTCAAGGATGGAGGGAAAATCGCACACAGATGCCCGAAGATGAAGACAAGCTTGCTGCTCCTGCAGCCTGGAGCCACCAGAGTGGGGTGGAATTAGTGAGGGAGAAAGGCAAATGGGAAAGACTGGGAAGGAGCAGAACCAGAACTGCATAAAAGCTCTGCAGTTCTCCAACTTCCTAAACAGTTTGGGCTTATTGGGCCTGGAACTTCTCAGCAGACCTGAAAGATGGAGCTTTCTTTGCAGAAAAGCAAGACAGCTTCTTTAGTCCTTCCTCCAGACTAGAATATTTTGGACAGTGAAATACATAACTATGTTAAATTCAAGTGGTGCAAAATCAAACCCTAAGAACTCTGCTTTAAACTGAATAATAAAACAAAGATATCTGCTATCATTTTAACTAATTTTCACTGTTTTTAAAGCACACTTATATAAGATAATAAACAGAACCTATTAAACAAGAAGAGAACAAATCAAAATACAAATATCATTATTTGAATAGAATCAATCTTCAGGGAATCAACTGAAAATAATTAAGGGGAAGAAAATCTAAATGTCACGAAAATTCTGTAAAAGAACACCAACGCACGGATACAGACCTCTGAGAAATCTGATCATGTTTGAAAGTATGATCATTAAATTATTTGGATTGTCATAGCTTTAGGCCAACAGATCAAAGGAATATAAAAGTGAATCCTAAAACTTTCACAAATGCATAGAAGAATGTAAGATGCAATCAAAGTAGCATTTCAAGTCAGTGATGGAAATAAGGTGTATTTAACAAGGCCATGGGTGCGGAGCTATCGGTGCCCATGGGACTCCACCCATCTCAAGCACCTGAGAGTTCCAGGGTTCAAACTCTAGGATTTAATGTTTTCCCTCCTGGATCTTGGTCTTGCCTTAGGCGCATCACCGCATCACTTATTATTTTCCTATTCCTCCCTTTTGAAATGGAAATAAGTACACTGAATCAGTATTTTAAAATATGCAACTTTTTTTGTCTTTTAAACAGGGCTCACAGCTGAATTTTCCTTAGGTTTCAGGAGACTTTAGACCTGGACTTTCAAGCAACGCTGGGGGTATTTAAGACGCTGGGGTTCTTTGCCGTGATGTGCATGTATTTTACTTTGTGAGGTGGACCTCAACCTTGGGGAACAGAGAAAAGATGCTACAGTTTGGATACTGAATGTCCCCTCAGTTCTGTGTGTCACAGGCTTAGTAACCCAGGAGGTGCTATTGGGAGATGGTGGAAGCTTTGAAAAGAGTGCTGTAGCGGCTGGGGATTTAGCTCAGCGGCACAGCACCTGCCTGGCAAGAGCGACGTCGTGAGTTAAATTCCCGGTACCGGGAAAAACAAACAAACAAACAAAAAAAAAACAAAAAACAAAAAACAGAAAAGAGTGAGCCCCGTAGGCCGTGGGAGGCACGGACCCAAAGGGGGTTATGCAGCCCTGACTTCCTGTCTCTCTTTGGCCTCCGGTGTTATGAGGGCAGCAGCTTTTGCCTTCCAGTGTGACGAGGGAAGCTATGTGCACCTGCCATGACTGCTGCTTCCTCATGGACTGGAAGCTCCAAAAGCTATGAGCCAATAGGAACCTTTTCCTCTTTACATGTTAATTGCTTCAGATATTTAAATATAGTGATGCTAAAGTGACCAGTTCAGCACCAGGGAAGTTTGAAAAGATAAAGAGAAAGTTCCATAGTAGAGGCGGGAGAGGCTTACATCTTATTGCAGCTGTTTTCTACCTCACTCTAGATATGTTCTGTACCTGCTTACATCTCAGTTTCCCTCTGCTACACTGATGACACATAAGTTTCAGTCTCTTATGCTGTGTGACAACTGATAAGCAAATATAAAATATTCAGCACAGAAGCTGACACACAGCAAGTGCCGGGGGAGGGGAGAGGTTGATTATTACAACCACACTCATCTGTCATCATCATCGTCATGTTGTCAGTATACTAACCTCAGAGTTCCACTAAAGGCACAGGCCACAAAAAGTCCTGGAAGTCCTGGCATTTTGTGAAATAGTTCCATGACGAAATATGGCATCAGCTAATGAGGAAGCAGAAAGGGGGTGGAGAGAGAATCAGTGATTTTCTCAGCAGAATCTAAAACGTGGAGATGTAAGTTTTCAGCAAGCGGAGGTAGGAATTTACTTCTCTTTTGTTTTCAACATATACCATCTCTTATGTGTTTAATCTGAATTTAGCACTTACAGCCTTTAAAAATGCCTGGGATGGGAATCAGGGAATTGAAGTGTAATTGTTGCACTCTGGGAGGAAGGCCCTACAGGACAGTACCCAGGGCTGGGGAGGAGAGAGTGGCTCTTCCTCCTGAGCATGCTCTCCGCCAATGGAGTTATAGAAATCACGTTTAACACAGGACCATGACCCAAGGCTTAAATTGTGCTGGGAAGACAGCAGCACAGGGATTATGGACATCAGGGACATTTATTCCATATTAGGTTGCAGCAGAATCACAACCTGGAAGTTTGTAGGAAAAAGGTGCACGGCAGCCATCATAGCTATCAGTTTAAGCCCACCTAGAGCTCTCTCCCCTCTGGACCAGCCTTTAAGCCCAGTCTCAGGGACGAACTGAGGTGTCCTCTCCTTTTCTTTTTTGTTTCCTTGTGGTGCTAGAGATCAAACCTAATCCCTTACACTTGCCAGGCAGCAACTAACTCATCAGCAGGCCAACACTGCAGACCCCCGAGGTGCACCCTTTGTACACACACACTTCTCGCCGTTACAACCCGGGATGGGTGACATCACCCAAGAGAGAGGAAAGAAGGCAAGTCCTTGGGGTTTGAGACCCGACTAGAGGTGGAGCTAGAACAGAAGATGGGTTCAATATTACTTGGTCACGGCCAGAACCCCAACGCACACAACGAACACATACCTGGTCCGGGGCTGAGATCATGCCAGAAGTCCAAGGGTCGCAGTCTTTGAAATAGGAATACATGATTAATCCAGAGAAGACTGCACACACCAGAATGATCCAGAGGCCCAGCAAGTTAAAGTACAAGGCACTAGAAAAGAATGCACAGGGCAATTGGCAGCCCTTGTGGCGTGTTATAGCATAGTGAAGTCATTATTAACACTCAAGGTCAAGTCTTTGGGGGTCCCTTTAGTTAGCTTTCATGAATCATTATATTTTATACTTTTACATTTGGGGAGTATATTGCATTTTAGACTAATTACTAAAGTCAAGAAAAGTAATGTTTTAGATAGATTTTACTTTAAAATGGAGAGGTTTTTTTTTTTTTTCCTTTAAAAGATCTCAATATGTGCGATATGAGATCTATTTTCTTGGATGAAATTTTTCACATATCCATCACTCATGTTATATAACTTGAAGTGATCCCCCCACTGAATTCATGAAGCTGTCAAAAAGCCAAATTACATTTTAGCATCTTTTCTTCCAAAGAGATAATGAGATGATATAGAAATAGACAAGTTATGGAAATACTGCACTCACTTTGAAAATTAATTCAGGTGAAAGTTAAAGTTGCATTTTTAAAGGCAAATGAAAGTATTAAAGACTGAAGATTATCCTACCCATATGATTTGGAACAATTCATTTTTTTTCTACAGCAAACATACATTCATAATTCCAGTTGGTGCCTTTACAGTATTTTGTTCTTATTTTCTATCCATTCCATCCTTTGATAGTCAAAATCCTACCCTAGGGAAGATTTGAAAGTAGATAGAGTTTAAAGAGACCTAAAAGCATAAACAGTCTCATTGTGGAGAGAGTCCAGGGGGTTGGCAGGGTAACTCTGAGCATTTCTTGAATCCAGTCATTGTCTGAAAGGCATAGAACATTCACATTCAGATTAAAGGGTGGCCATTCATTTCAAAGCCATGTATCACCCCCCACTGCACAGGTGGGCCTGACTTTCAAAAGAACCTTAAATCAAAATCCTGCTTTAAAAGAGAAATATTTTAGATAACTATTCCATTGAGAACTTTTACATTTGCAAAAAGCTTTATCATCTCAAAATTTATTTCTTTGGAAGTATTCTGACAATGTTTCTGCCTTGAGTTTTCTTTGTTCTTGTTTGGTGGGATTTGGGAATAAATTGCCACATAAAAGGATCAATACCCCAATGATAATCATATCGTTAATCATGCTCAGTGTTGAACATCTTGGGGAAATTTTATTCAAACTCTTCCTGAGGGCACCTCTTAGACAAGCCTCCCTGACCCTCCTTATCTGAAATAGCCACTTGTTAGATTTATGCAATAGAAAGTTTTTTTCTTTATAGCATTTATCATGAGATACAGTAGTATGATATATTTATTGTCTGTTATCTGTTTTTGCAATAAACTGACATAACGCTATATCCCCAGAGCATAGCATAAAACTGACAGAAGACATAAAATTAATTCATTTTTGTAAGAAATGAGCAATGATTCAATGAATTAATTAATGAAAGGTGCAAAATCTTTACAATAAAAGTGCTCTTGCTGCTGCAGTTATACTTTGAAAAGAGCTTTGGAGTTGGAGTCAGGGCTTGATATTTATCAACTGTCTGGTCACGGATGAGTGACCTAACACTCTGTATCATCTATAAAACAGAAGGTAACACACCTGCTGCAGTTCTTGTTGTACCACTCACACGAGAACAGCATGAGTTATACTCTGTGAAACAGATGGAGGCTAGGTAGGCATATAGAAGACATTCATACATTATTTAAACTCAGTGACATAATTTGACCAGACAACCATGGAATGTGAGAAACCAATGGTGAGATTGTACAGCATTAGTGATTGCATTTTTAGATGTTTCTCACTGAAATTAGACTTTGATTCTATGCAGAGCTAATTCTCATGTTCGTAAAGTGGGCCACTTCATTACTTCATTAAAATATTTATTGACATCTGTTTCTATCAGGCCCAGTTCTAGATTCTGTAATATAGCAAGGATCAATCCAGAACCCATCCCATTCGGAGCCTGGAGACCAGTGAAAAATACTGAAATGAAAGATAAATAAGATGACTTCAGATGTAAGACTTGTGAGGAAAATAAGCCAAAAAAAAAAAAAAAGAGAGAGAGGAAACAAAAGCCATGTGTGTGGGTGTGTCCAGTCAGGCTGGGAACAGGGTTCGGATGGAGGACCCAGTTTCCCACAGAACACCTCCACCTCCGCCATCTTGGTTGTACTGTTTACTCTCCGTAGTCCTGAAAGGTAAACTGGGGTCTAGAAACAAACAATGGTATTTCAACGACTTTTTAAGTGATATTATTTCCAAAAATAAGAGAGATCTGGCCTCAGATAAAGTTGTCTTTGGTGAAGAATTGGCATATGTGGTCTTGCAATTGGCTGCCCACATAGCAGACATTACCAATGGCCTGCTCATTGCCAATTTTATGGATTTATTTCCACTTACCTATGTTCAGGATGTGTTTTCCCCAAGTAGCAGAGTGTAGCTTATTTTTTCTCTAGAGTCCAAAGCAATGCTTTGATTATATTAGACTGTCAGATAATTAGATAACCAAGCAAGAGAAGAACGGTTTGGTCAGCATTCTGCGGAAGCTGCTAGGTAACAGTCCACAACTGACTCAGAGTAGCCTCCAGCTGTCCAGGAAGTGTCCTTGAGGCTACTGTTTTGTGTTGAACAAATCTCACTCCATTTCTCTCCTAGGAAAATGAATGCTCTTAACTGTACCAAACTTTTTGTCCCCTAGGTTGTGTGATTAAATCACCTGACATCTCTTGGGGCAATCTTTCTAAGGAATGTTTATATTTCATTTTTTCTCACTCTCAAAAAAATTCAGTCATATCTCTGATCTGGAAATAAGAATGGGAATGGCTGGAACCTGCAGTAGCAGTCTTCAGTGCCTAGAAATATGTATATATTTCTGTCTTCATGACCACCTCTCCTTTTCTGCTAATTTTTATACCCACCCCATTTCTAAAATATCAATTTGCAAACCGCAAGCATCTGTATTACTTTGCATCAATGTTTTGCTTGAAGTAAATTAATCCATAAAATAATGCTTTGAGATCTATGCAGAAGTATATATGCATACACTCACATACACACACACACACACACACACACACTCTCCTCCCTATGTGTATGTGTCTGTGTGTGAATGCACACACAAGCATGGTTTCCTTAAAGCATTATTTTGTTTAGTAAGTGATGAATACTTAACAGGCACAATGCATTATTCTTGATGTTGTGAAGAGAAAGAGGACAAAAAAGACGTTCTAACATTTGAAGTACTAATGCATTAGTAGGGGAAAGTAAAGCATGTTTACAAGAGAAAAGAACATAAGTTTATGAGATTAAAGTAGATTTAATAGCTGGGTCAGTGACAAGCACCCATGATCCCAGGTACTTGGGAGGCTGATGGGGAAAGGTTACTTGAGCCCAGAAGCTTCAAATCTGCCCGGGAAACTAGCAAGATCCTGTCTCAAAACTAAGTAATAATTAAGAAAAACTAATGGTCAAACCCCTGGATTTAAGAGAAGTTATTTTATCAAAAGTCTCTTTATAAATATATTCAACTCCATTTAATCTTAAAGTCACATTTTACATGGATTTAATTTTCGGTGAACTTTAAGATCAAAGTCACATCACTTTTAGTACTACTGCTGTTTTTCAGGTGCTGATCACATGTGTGGAGTCTTTATTATGTGTGTGGAGAGTTTGTTACAATATTGGTGTAACAGGATATGACTAGGTCAACAGCGAATTGACAGAATGGTAACTAATCCACTCACTTCCTCTGAGTTCTGAAATACACAAATTGTAGCATTACCGTTACATTCATTTGACACTCAACTTGCAAAATTTAGTTGATTCATTTCCAGGCATTTTTATGTTTTATTCAGTGAAAACAAATTATACATTGAAAATATTTTAAAATCATGCTGGGGAATATGCACTGAACTGCTTTTCTAAGAAGAGTTTAGGACATTCTGACTAGGAGCAGGAGGCTTGGGCCTTGGGCAGTGGCACTGGTTTCCTACAGAAACCCCTCTTCATCCACTCCAGGTGCAATTCTGCCCTTTCTCGCAGGTTTGTGAAAGGTAGTATAACGACCTGTGGTCCCCCTTGCCAAGCACAGGATGGCCTGCAGCAGTTGGGAGAGGCACATTCTGCAGGCCTTGCAAGAGTAGATGCAGTCCAGCCAAATAGCTCTACTTCTGTGTGGTGACGCTTAATTGTGTCAACTTGACTGACCTGAGAGTGGCCCAAGCATACAGCACAATTCTGCTTCTGCTCGCATCTGGGTGAGTCATGAAGGTGTCACCTGGAGAACTAGATGGTCTCTGACCCTTTCCCCTCTGGCACTGTTCCTCTACACTGCTTAGCCTCCACCATGACATCTTTGCATCCCCATGCTCCTCTACCATCACATTTCTGCCCTGGATCCATCCAACCACAGATTGAATCCCCTCTCAGATCAAACCTCTCATCCTTTAAGTGGTAGCTGTTGGGTATTGTGTCCTAGAGAGGGTAAGCTGATAATGCAAAAATTACTACTATGAGTGGGGTTGTTTGAGTGATTGCACTTGACCATGTAGCCTAGAAGTCTTTGCAAATGGTTTGAGGGAGGAATTTGAACAAGTTTGAAGTGGGCTGGATAGTCTTGGAATGCTATAAGCAGAGCCTGCTGGGGATTCAGGTCAGAGCTCAGAAAATCAGTATGCTGATAGGAATGCAGACAGAAAAGCCCACAGTCAGGAGGTTTCAACCAGGAACAAGATAATATTGGTGAGTGGACTGGAAGCCATGCATGCTGCACTCTAGCAAAAGAAATCCTGTCTATACTTTGCCCATGTCCTAAGACTGGGAGGCTGAGTTTAAGGGTGATGAACTAATAGATCTGACAGAGGAAATTTCAAGACATCCCCAAATTTAAGTTCTGTCATAACTATTATTTGTTGTTTTCAGAGAAATTTATAGTAAGAGTAAGAATCAGAGATAAGAAATAGAGAAAAAAATTTAAAGCTTAAATTTTGGCCCTAATGGAACCATGTTTTAAGTTGAGACTAAAAGAGTTGAGGCTGCTAAAGAAATTAGTTCCTTAAAAGGAAACTAAGTTCTTTTTATGGGGACCAAAAAAAAAAAAGACCCTTGAGGCCATCAGAGTAATGAATAAGATCCAACCCATCAAAGGCTAAAAGTGCACAAGTGTTAAACTTTCATTTAAGAGAGTCCCTGGGTCCCCTGACCAGGCACCTGGAAAATGGTTCCCTGGGATTCATCTCACTGTGCTCAGCCACTGCGGTACTCAGAGACCACTGCATCCATGGCCCACCAGCCGTTTCTGCTCATAGCACACCTTGAGATGGTCTACCCAAGGCCGCCTTTACCAACAGGTTGCAGGTATTGTGGGCTCAGAAAGGCCTCCACCCAGGTTTCAAAGTACAATCTGAAAGGCGAGGCAAGGAGCCCTTGAGAGGGAAGGGATGAGCTTCACAGTAAAACCAAAGGCACAGTAGAAGTTCCCAAAGCTACAAATATCAGAAATAGAAAACATTTGCCAAACAAAGCTAAGGGCCCAGGTGATCTTAACAAGGACCCACACTAAGGCTACCCCAGCCCTCTAAAAGTCATAGCTTTGCACTACTATGCCCCAGATGCCAGATCTTGAGCCAAAATATTTAATGTTTGCCCTGTTATGTCAAAATGTTGCTGTGGTCAGATTCTTTCCTATCCCCCTCTTCCTCCTTTTAAAAATGGAAATGTTTACCCTGTGCCACTGGGCCTTGGAGTTATGCAACCTTTCTGTAATTTTATAGAAGTTTATGATTAAGAGCTTGCCTTTAGTGTCAGAAGAGACTATGACTCAGACTTTGTAAAAATGTTAACATTGTTGAGACTTTGCAAAATCAATTATTATATTTTCAGTTGTACAGAGGTTAGTCATATCATGTGAGGAAAAATTACAGATTTTTTTTCTTTATTTGTTTGTTTGGGGTTTTTTTATTTATTTTCTTCTGGTACTGGGAATTGAACTCATGACCTTGAGCTTGCCAGGCAGACGCTGTGCCGCTGAGCTAAATCCCCAGCCCCCAGATTTGTTATTGTCTTCATATATACATGAATTATGATTTTAAAAGTTGTGTTTGGGTTTAAGTTGACAAGGGTAAAAATGTGGTGGTTTAGATTAGTTGTGTCTATTTGTTTCACTTGTAATCCAAGGGATTAGTAGAGCACACTTCTGGGTGTGTCTGAGTCAGTGATGGAGGTGTGCACTATTATACCTGGCAATCTTCCTCTACTCTGGTTCCTTTAAGCCTGGAACTAAGCACCTTTGCTACATTCTACCTTTTCTACCATGATGTTTCCATTTTGGGTTCAGTCAACCAGGGACTAAATCCCCTAAAACCATAAGACAAATTGAGCCTTGCCTTCTCTATATTGTGGCTGTTGAGCACTGTGTCCCAGCGACGAAAAACCTGACTTATACAACTACCCCACTCATTCTGTAAAAGTCTCTCATGGTGTTTCCAGAGTAGAACCTCCAGACTATTTCTAATGTGAAATTCCCTGATTCACAAATTGCCATTTTCTCAAATAGACACTTTAAAATTGTACTGTGCCTGTGTATCTTTTCACCTATCAAAAAATAATAATTAAATCACTAGAGGTTGAGTACAGCTCATTGCAGAAACTTGGGGCAAAAGCGTGTGCTATTTACCTCTGCATCATCAGCCACAGCACCACATGTAGCCCAGTGATTTCACAGTGCATAAAGGCAGCATGTAACTGACGGCAAAGAAAGGCAAACCACAGTCCAAACCCAGCTCTGCTAGTCCCTTGCTGAAGTGGAATTAGTGTTACTTAGCTCAAAAAAAATTGTTGAAAGGGTTAAATAAATCTTTCATTTCTTTCTGTTCTACATGCACATACACCAACAGGAAGCATATGCAGAACTAAATGGGGGAAAAGGAAACAGAACTTTTTCTTGATCTGTAACTTACAGCTTAGCATGCTTTTCTGTTTTGCAAGAGATGCACCTCTGGATGGTTGATTGATTAACTCCATAGATGCCGAGCCATGTGAAAGTTCCTCCGACCGAGATTGTCCAAAATGTGTGCCTCCGGAGAGGATCTACATCAAAACTAAGACACAGAGAACACAGATGTGCCTTTGGAGCCCAGATGCTATTTCACTTGATGAGAACATGCAGTTGTAAGTCTTCATAGGCTCTAAAAAGTAGCATTGGACATACTCAGCTATCTGCAGCCGGGATCCATTTGCAGCTTGCTCTAACACATTGTGGAATCCACCAGTTTCAATGGATCCTTGAATAAGAACCGTTAAGAAGCCCACAATCATGACAAGCATCTGAAACGCATCTGTCCACACCACTGCTTTTAATCCTCCCTGAAAGGAAGAGAGTCAGTGTGAGCAACTGAGATTGAAACCTGCATTTCCTAAATGAACAGTTTTCCTGCTAATGTGGCCACTCATCCATTAATTCAGTAACGGTTACAGGGCATCTTTCATTTGCTTCATCTTCTATGTTAAACATGGGGATGAAATGGTAAGCAAGAAAGATCTCTTCCTGAAGTTAACAGAGCTTATAATCTAATGGGAGAAGCAGATAATGAATAGCAAGACAGCTATTAACTTAAACTTGTGAAAAATACCATGAAGGACAAGTTACTTAGGGAAGCATACAATGAAGCATCTTGACTCAGTCTTGAGAAAACAAGGGTCAGGCTAAACTACAGAGTCCCTGAGAAAAAAAAGTTGGAATATAACGTACAGATCCAAGGAGTCACAAACCCAAAGAGGAGCTCCTACATTTGTTAAAAGCCAGAGCAGATAGATTGTGACAAGTCTACTTCAATGATTTTTAAAGAGCAAAGAGAGAGTATTAAAGAGAGTTTCATAGTGAAAGGTTTCATAGGTTTGTTTCACAGTAATTTGATGGGTGGTTGGGTGGATAATAGGTTGCAGACTGCAGAAGAAAGGAGTCAAGGGGTCAGTTGAGTTTATTCCAGTTGCTCATCTCCAAGAAGATGGACAGTTTGAAGTAGGGTAGAGAGAGAAGGAATCTGATGTATTCGAAAGACATTTGAGTGATAAAAATCACCATAGCTTGTGATCCAGCTGACACAGATGATAAAGCAAGAGAATTAAAAACAATTACCTGGCTATTGCTTGTAAAATTTGACACTTTTTAATGACACTAGTGACGATGTATACACTCTGGGGAAGAGAGATGACAGAATACTGAGAAAGAAGAAGAAAATTAGGAAGGAACATGAGACTACAGATTCATGAGTAAGGAGATTTTGAGATGCAGGCTGGTCAAATAGGTGAAGAACCCAGCTTCCTGAAGATGAAGATAATAGTAGAACCAAAAGATTGAGAGGTTAGGCAAGAGCTCAGAAAAGTGATTATCAAATCTGTCTTCCCACTAGAATCACCAGAGAAAGGTTAAAGAAAAATAAACAATATCCAGATCCCATCCTCAGGAATTCTAAATTAATTGCCGTCTGGGCTGGGGACCCGAGCTGGGCCTTTTGACACCTCCCTCAGTGTTTTCTGATGTAGAATTCCAGTTGAGAGCATGTGGGCCAGGACAAGGGAGAAGACAGAAAGACTGCAGCAGTGCTCCAAGGAGAGAATCCCCGGAAGGCCACAGCCAGGGTGGAACGAGCAGATTGGGAAAGATTAAATGAAGTGACATGTGAAGAAAGTACTTTGAAAAGGCATGAGCACTGGGAAAATGGAAGGATGTGATATTTTTAACACTGAAAAATAGAATTATCATCCCCAGTTACTCCTCCGGAGTGTCAAGAACTTCTGTGAAGAGATGACAAGCTTTATCTTTAGCTTGAGAAGGAAGAAGACATTGGGTTGTCCCAATCTTTTTTGTAATTAAAATTTAATTTAAGACTAAACATTAAAGTCCCTGCTAAAAGCATTGCATTTATATATTTTGTTCAAGTCATAAATGTCTCACCTCCCACCTCATAGGATGGCACTAACTTGACTTCCTTTCAAGATGTTAAGCCTTCCAAACCCAGATTCAGATTTTTCCAAACCCAACTTCAGATTTTAGTAATATGAAAATCAACTCTTAGAAGCTTCAATTTTCAGAATTACTTGACATTTTTTACAGGAAAATCTGTGTAAAGCTAAACATCAACTTGACATGCAAGAAAACAAATCATTTTCCCAGAAATCATATTATAGTTACCATGAAGTTTTCTTTGATTTTCACATAGCAAGATTTTATGCCCCCTTGTATATTTCACCAATCTGTGCTGTTTTGGGTGTCATGTTTACCTCATTTTATTGTACACTTGGATGACAAGAATTGGTTATTTTTTTAATCTCTTCAACTGATTTTTCTGCACATGCTATACATCCGCAAGATTATCAGAGTAAAAATATTGCAATATGAATGCATATTTTAGATGCATAGGCTACCATTTGCATGAGACACTGAAGTCTCTGATCTGGCTAGAGAGAGGAGAGATGGAGTGGAGATAGTTCCTCTAGATTTGTCTTAGAGGAGTATATCCATTGTTCATAAGTTCTCTTGGCTGTCAACCTTCAATTACTGAAGGGTAGTTTTGTTAAGAAATTTTAGGTTGGCAATTGTTTTTCCTCAGTGCTTTGAAGATACTATTCCACTGTTTCTGGCTTCCATTATTGGTGCTCAAAAGTCTGCCTAGAGTGTCCCTTTGTAGGTATCTTTGTCCTCTCTTTGACTCTTATATCCTCAAAAGTTGTGTTTTTCAATTGTGTAGATTCTTCCTTTTTCAGTGCTAAAGGATTTCAAGGGACTGGGGATTTAGCTCAGCTGCACAGCACCTGCCTGGCAAGTGCAAGGTCATGAGTTTGATTCCCAGTACTGGAAAAAAAAAAAAAAAGAATTTCAAGCTGTACTTTTGTAGAAATACAATGTCTCCTCCACTTTTACTGTTCGTTTATCTTCTGCAGCTCCAGTCAGATACAAATTTGATCTTCCACTTTACTTTTCAGAGCAGATTTGCACTTTTTCTTTGCAAGAGCAGAAGTTTCTCACTGACCTCCAACTACTTGAGTTCCTTTCTGTGATGCAATTAATGGAATACTCCCAACTCTCCTACTCTGCACTGCCAATGGCTGAGATCCAACACCTCGACAGTAGTGACGTTTTCCGCACCTGTCCTTAAATTAATCTCTCCCTTTCTGCCTACTCACTTCTTCCTGATACCATAATCCATTTAGATAACTTGGTTATGTTATTTTGTTACTATGCTTTTTGGAAAGAGATTTCCTTTGAGGCACTCTCATATCCTGTACAATCCCAACAATACATTAAAAAGCCGTGGCATCAGCATTTAATATTTTCTTCTGTGGCCAGGTATGTCAGAGAAATTAAGCCATCACTCAGGTTCAGCATGGAAGGAGGACGAATATACCTTTTTAACCAAGGTGGGAAGAAATTCTTGAGAACCACCATCAGCAAAATGCAATGGGAGATGAAGACACAACTTTGATATGACAAAATGGTGGCATTTGCAAGTATAAAGATGAAAGATAAGGATATTGTTAAATTGTATATTCACATGATACATATTGCAAAGGGAATATAGTGTGATCATAATGTCACAATGCAAGGAGAGTCTGCTATATGATAATATGTCAATTATTATTACTTTTTTGTGGAAGCATAGATTCCAACTGTCCTGTAAGCTTTCCCATGTCCTTAACAGGTTAATTACAGCCAGCACATGGTGTAATGATTCAGCATAGTAAATATTTTCTAGGTACAGGACAAGGACAAAAAATAGATGTTTAATGCCTATTTGTTGAGATAAACTAAATTTAGCAATTATATAAACATGTTGCCAACATTACTCAGCTCTCTTTATTGAAAGTTGAGCATATATAAAAATAAATGTGAAAGGTACTTGAGGCTTATCTATAAACAGTAGAAAAAAAATAGCTGTGAAATAATTAAGTTTATAAAGTACCAACCATCCTTGATGACTCATACACTCATTTTCTATCGCTCACCTAGTAGACAGTGAAATATAAATGCTACCTATGATTTAACAACAGACTTAGGCAGCAGATTTATTTCTCAGAAATGTCTAGGGTCATCTGTTCTCTGACCAGGGAGCTATTTCTTTCATTAAACCTTCTCTCAGTGGCATGACTTTCTTGAATGAATTCAGTGCCCAACTTCTCATACCTGCTAGTGCAGAAAGGAATTTTAAATGGAACAATGTCTTTGTCAGGAAACTCTGACAGATCAACCGACATACCTCTACTTAATTTTGGAATGGCAATTTTTTGCTATAATTAGACGCCCTGTTGCTGGAGATGCACCTTACCCATATTAGGAAGTATCGCTCAGTAGTTTTCCCTGCTAGATACATACCAGGGTGCAGTAGAATGTGCAGACGATTCCCGTGGCAAACACGGAGCCCCAGAGGTCAAACCCAGTCACTAGCAAAGGAGAAGAACGTTAAAGGAGTTCATCTGAACTGCTCCTTCACAAAGGAGCAAGCTTTGTGAAGAAAACTCACAGTGTTTGTCAGTGTTCTGGTGAGCTACAGGATATCAAAGTAATTTTTCCTCATTAAATTTTATCACCTCTGAAAAGGATGATTATAGTTGTATGCCTCAAGGCAGTCTATCAGTTTTGTACAATGTTCTGTCAACTTTTTTTCTCTTCAGATGCTGTAGTTTTCATCTTTGGTCCAAATGCTCTTCTGGTTTTTGTTCTTTTTGGGTAACAAAGTTAGTCTGAATAATCAGAAACCACCACAAATGGAAAATTAATACTTTTCAAGATAAGCACCTAGTCCAATTAAAGTGAATATTGAGAGCTTTCAACATAGCAGATATAACTGTGAAATTTCTTTTCCTTTTTCTTTCTTTCATTTTTCTTTCTAGGATTCTATTCTGCTGAGAGATGAACTGTACACCTTCATGTAATTATTAGAAGCAGCTTCTACTCTTGCACTCAGATTAGCTACTTCATGAAATCACTGAGAAAAGGCGCTTATATTTAGGTGACTTTACTCGGTGGTTGTGCTGATGTGAGACAAAAGCCACCACCATTTCACTGAAATGAAAAACCCGAACAACAACAAAAAATGTTATCAAGCTGGTGTTTAGAACCACCCAGCTTTGTGAGATAAAGTCAAATAACTAATTCTTTGCATTGTTTTCCACGTTTAATCTCAAATGTGTTTGGAGAAAGGGCTTCAGGGACTCCTCGCACCCTAACCAGGGCTCAACACCCTAACAGGGTATTGTATGTACATTTCCCTAAGATGAGATCAGGTATCAAAGTGACGAAATGCGCCCACAGGAGCATCAGGAACTCACCTTGATTGAGCGCCAGGGCAGGGGCATACACCACCACCCCTGTGTAGAGAATCTGGTAGGGAAACAAAATAGGTGGACAGTGAATTAAAGTGACACGGGAAGGGATATTCCCTGGAAAGCTCTTTATACATCTTACAGATGTATTTCCTTCCACTTTCTCAGCAAGCATTTTATTCCCATCTACTCTGAAATCACTCATCACTGTAACTAATGCAGGCAGTAGAAGAGATGTAGAGACCATTAGCCTGAGGAAGAGGGTTAGATTTTGAACATTGTTGACAAATTTGAAATATTGTGCTTATATTGGGCATATTTCTACAAGTTGAGTTTTTCTTTGCCTTTCCTCTATCCATTCCTCCCATACACCTCTGCTGGGCTCACTACTGACTTCAGGGAAGCTCTGCTGAAGAGCAGAAGCACAGTAATTTGTTGAAATATAGACTGTAGGATAGACATGGAAAAAATCTGCAAAGAGAAAAAACTGCACAGGGAAGACTCGTCGCCTGGATTTCCTACATAATTACCCTCTAACTCACAAAACTGCAATTGCTACCTTGATGGAAATGTGCTCCCCTCCAATTTTATTTTAAGTGCAATTCCACCATTTAGAGATAAGTGAAAAAAATAAAGGTTCATGGCAAAAGTCTGATATCTATGAGCAGCTCAAGAAACATAGCTTCCCTTCTACTCCTTCAGGCACTCGGGGAATTTCAAGTAAGAGAGAGAAGGTTCTCTGCTAGTGGAAGCACCTGGTGAGTAGTGGGACATGCCCCAGTGGGGTGGGCCCAAAGCCAGTGGATGCCAAACAGTTCCCATAAGAGGGAAGCAGGGATATTGGCGGGGAAGATTGTCTTATGGGACTTTCAGCCAAACAAGCACTTCTGGTTCAACTCATTTAACCAGTGTTAAAAAAAATATCAATTACCACACCATCCCATATCCAAATTTTGCTTGGGTTAAACATGAGAGAGGTAAACTTGAAGAAAACAATTGTGTCTTTGTGGCTTATAATGTTGATTTGTTTCTTATTATTAGTGTAGATACAGTCTACGGAATCTACCCAATGCAGATGCCTGTGAAGGTAATCGTGTGTCTTAAAATTGCTTCCTTAGGAGGAAAGTGGTGGCTTTTCAGTAGTAAGTCTGTCCTTAAATTGGGTTAATTGGCCCCAAATAAACAAAACCCTGACTGTCTTGTACCCCAGTTTTCGTCTCTGCAGCAGCCCTTCCCTTACCGTCTGCACAATGTAGATGACGGTCGCTGCATAGCGAACTGGTTTGTTGAAGCGTAGTTCTAGGTACTGGAGGAACAGAGAGATACACAGAGTCAGTGGGTTTGGGAGAGGGCTTTATGAAGGGCTTGCTTTGAGCCTTTGGTCTTTCTCCAAGCTAAGTGCTATGCACTTTCAGTATGACCTTATGCTATGGGTCCTTGGAGGCATAGGTGTGGGGGAGGCATGGATGATTGAAGTCCAGCATGTATTAAAACTCACTTCCTGTTCATGCTTCTGACTTTCCACCCTGGCTTCTTCCTACACGACCCACTAAAGCCACCATTTCCTGTGACATCCCCACTGCCCCAAAGGCAGCTCAGCGCTCTGATTCTTTTCCGGAGTTCTGCGGTCACCTCCTAATTGGTCTTCCAGTGCTAAGCCTTGCCCACCCATCCATCCCATCAATCCACATCTACCGCATCAATTCTCTTAATGCAGAGCTCTGATCATGGCACTCTTCTTCTCAAAATCTTCAGTCATGCTCCATTGTTGATACAAAGGGCACATCTCAGGCATGGTGTTCCACACACTCTCTTGTCTGATCCCACTTAACCTCATTATAACACCAACACTCCCATAATTTATTCTCCACATAAAATCATTAAGATGTGCTGAACTCACACATTTGTACTATCCCAACTTTGCCTTTGTTTAGGTGAAACTTTCAGTGTAAGTGTTCTCCCTTCAAACTTTAAATCTGTTCCTCAAATTCTTAATCATCACTCAGCAGGAGCAGTTCGGTTGCCACTGGTCCTATTCTTTCTCTGGCTCTCTCCTCCGAGCTCTTGTGACACTGATGCCGAAGTTCATCATGGTGAGCAGTCACACACTGGTAATTCAGTACTGGATTTATCTCAGGTCATCTATGGATCAGTTGCTTATAGGTGTCATGACAAATTACCACCTATTTGGTGTGTTACAGCAACAGCCAACTCACCTCCTGCAGGGTGAATGTCCAGAAGTCCCAATGAATTGCACTGGGTCCAAATCAAGGCATTGGCAAGGTCACACTCCCTTGTGAGGCTCGAGGATCTGCTTCTAGCCTCGTTGAGCTTTTGTGGCTGCTGGCAACCCTTAGCTTCTGGTGTGTCACTCTTATCTTTGTGTCCCTAGTTCTACTGCCTTCTTGTCATCAGTGTTCCACTGCCTCCACCCATAAGTGTGTAGTGATTATGTGGATACCTTAGGGTCACTGAGATAATCCAGGGTAATCTCTTCCCATTTGTGAAGATGCAGACTCTCTTTGTTTTGGATCCTATCACAGGTTCCAGGCATGGAGATCTCTCCCCTTTCATCCACTCCCCCTCTGCATTAGCAAGGTGAGTTAGAAAATGTGAGTCAGTGGAAAATGAGTTACAGTTCTACCCTATACTCCTTATTTCAAAGAAGGATCCAAGAAACATTTATGCATCATTTCTACCAAGTTGAAACTACAATGCATCCCAGTGTACTGAGTGAATCACCTGAAAATAAACTGGTGCTTTACCACAGAGTATCTTATGAGACTATATGACTAACTATTGACAGCAATAAAATAATCAAAAATAAAATTCTTAGTGTAATAACAGTAGAAGAAGAACTACAAGGAGTTGTGAAAACACTGGTGGGGTTTGATTTACTGGTGAAGGTCAGGAAAGGTTTTTGTGAGTAAGTATTCTCAGACATGAGTGTCTAGAAGATGTTCAAGTATATGTCTTCCAATGCATCATAAATTTGCATTAAAGATGAACAAAATAAATTGTAAAAGTAGCGAATGACTTGAGCATTCAATTTCTTGGGTGTAGCCTCTACTTAGGATTTCTTTACTATATGTATTTAAGAAAATCATTTTTATTAAATCAAAGACTACCTACTGAATGGTACTCTTTCTAGAAGTGATACATAAATGTTTCATAGTTTGAAATAGATCCTTCTTTGAAATAAGGACAACTTGGTAGAATTGTGATTCTTTTTCATAGTAGTCCGCATTTTCTACCTGACCCTGCTAAATGTCCTGAGTCCTCAGGGCAAGAACCACCTAATTATCAGGTGTCCCACTCACATCACTGGGAAGCAGAGGACAGTCCAGTGAACATGTGACTGAAATCTAGCTACAAAGAAACTATTCTTACGGAGGCAGGGAAAGGCCAAGAGCATTTAAAGCCTCAAATATCATGTGATAGAAGATAGCAAAACTTCCCTGCTGAGGACATGTTGGGCTCCTATCCCATGCTTTTGTGAAGAGAAGCTTACTGCACAAAGACTCACAAGTTTCCTTCACTAATCCCTGAGTCTCTGTATAAACTGGATACAGAAACTGTAATGGTTGATTGATTGTGTCAAGTTGACAGGTTTGAAAGTTTAGCTAAATTGTCTCAGCAATTCTACACCCTAGGGTGTAGAGGACCCACTCTTGAGCAGCTCATCGCCTGGATATTATAAAGACAAAATCAGGAAAGACAGACTTGCTTTTACTCTTGGAAGGTGCTCCAGTCTTCGCCTTCAGCTTGGACGTCATCTCCTGGCTTCTAGTGCGAACTGTTTGGCTTCCTTCATAGAATCTTCAGCCTTCTAGAGCAGACTCTTCAGCCAGCACTGTGCATGCTTCAGCCTTCTGGTGCAGACTCTTCCGCTTTCCAGGGTAGACTCATCAGCCTCTTGATAAACACTTCCATGCGACACTGCAGAAAGCTCCAGACCTAGACTGAATCCTTTGGCCTCTAGTGTGCAGAGGGTGCCTGTGCACTTCCTCATCCAACTCTGTAGCTGACCATCATGAGCTGATCTTATAATTTCTTATACATTTGTAGATCGTGTGTTATATCTGTGTCTCTAGTAAACACTGACTGATACAGAAACAAAATAGCATCCATCAAGTGTGTGATAGGAGCAATCAAGTGTGTAATGATCCCAAGTCCAGGGCTCAGAGTACAGTAAGATTGTAGTGACTGTATTAGTCACCATGGGTACAGCAGACACAGCTTGCTGGCACTGTGTTCCAGCACATACTGGTGGCATCTGAACTATCCTCTGATTGCCTATTTGAGGGCTTCCTTCCAACCTTGGAACAGGGCTGATGAGGAGTACCTGGGGGTGTTATCATGGCATACAGCCAGTGACTACAGGGAAGAGGGAGTAAGTGCATACTCTTCTTTGCCTTTTAGAGAGGAGTTCCTGATGCATGTTCTCTACTGTCCTGACATCCCTGGCAGCATGGAGCCCCAGCAGTCACAGCGATAACAGGCTAAGAAATGCACCTTTCCTGGCTTCCTCTCCTCCCAAGTCTCACTTTGTTACCTGCCTACCAGTGCTTACTGGAATCCTTTCCCAAAAATGATTTGCCTTCAAACTCTTATCTCAGAATTTGCTTCTAGGAAATACAATGTAAGTCACTATTTCCAGCAAATAGAATGCAAAATGTGGTATTTAAAATGCGATAATAAGATGAATTTTCTTGTGGAGAAGAATGCTTTCCCATCACATAATGAACCCAGGGCAGCCTTCTGGAAGATGAGAAGAAATGTTGAACAAGGCAGGCTGCCTCACCTGTGCCTCCTGAATGAGCACAACCCTTGGCATGCACAACCTGATGAGTCACAGGGATGCCCCAAGTGAGCCACGAGGAGACCCAGTGGACAGAGGCCATGCTGCTGGGCCATAGAACTACGAGCAAATGATTGCTGTGAGTCGACCTGGGGGTGGTGTGTTACACAGCAGTACATCACCAATGTAAAAAGTGGAAAGATGTTGTAACAAAAAATAAAAATATATATGGTCTTGGCTTTGGGAACAGGGTGATGTGCAAAGCCCGGAAAGTGAAAAGGAAACTTGCTAAAAAATGGAAAAGCTGTGTAGAGACCGCCATAGGAACCTAGAAGTCAATGGTTTTGCTATCTGTGTATGAGGTTAGAGTCAGTCAGTTCAGTAACCATTGATAGACCATTTTGAGAAAAGTTATATGAGAAAAGATCAAAGTGGATCTGAAGTCAGTCTTCTTGAGTTCTAGTTTGAAATCTGTTGGTATCTTTCTCTGTGATCTAAGGAGCTGTTTTCTCATCCATAAAACAAAAAAGGCTACTTTAACACATCAGTCTACTTCTGAAAGAATATGCTCCCCTTCCTCCCATGGACTCACTCGCTCACTCTGCAATCATCTGTGCTGACTGTAGAAACTCTCCTTACAGGAACAAGGGAAAACGGAAGTTCAAAAGTAGACTTGCCTGCTCCGTGCCTGGTTTCAAATGTATGTTTACCGTCATCATGTTGGATTGTTTTCAGAATTGCAAAGTTCATCTGTTATACACTATTCCAACTTGGGAAACAACTCCACTCATCATGTTGGTTCAAGACTAATTCAGATGCAGTCAGTCTTTACTTCTCTCTTTCTCTTACTCTCCATAGTCACTTCATCAAAAACTTCTGGTGCCTACTTTCCACTTTTAAGGCATAACCACCAGCAATTTCTCATCCTTTGCCACACAATCGTCATTATCTCTTCCCAAAGTATAGCAATAGATTCCCAGTCAGCCACAATGCTTCAATAGCCAAAACCCTATACTCATTCTTATATTACTATTATTAGTTATTATTATTATTATTATTATTTTAAAGAGAAAAGAACATGAACAAAGACAAAAACAAAACAACACACAAGATGACTAAGATAACTGTACTACTAATTTCTATTGGTTTATTGAAAGGAACAGATAATGTTTAATAGTTTGAGCAGTGTTGCAGGCCTATATTTGGTAATCTGAACAACTACTTTGAAGATAACAATAAGTAATACAACAGCCATTATTGATTCCCTATAATCACTCTTAACAGCTTTCTAGACTAATACTGCAAAATATAACCCACATTGTGTAGCTCTGCTATCAAACTTTATAGTCACCCTTCTAACCTAGAGTAAATGTCAATCCTTACAATTACATAAATATTGGTTATTGGTCATAATATTAGTTCAGACCCTATCCATCCCCATATGTCCATTTCTCCACCAGTATTTTATAATACCATTTACTGTGCTGAAATAATAGTCAGGAATATTATCTTATAATTAAACATCTGATGTCAAAATACTGTATAAATATTCTCAGAATACCACAGATAATAATTATATCTAAAAAGAAAGTAATTTATCAACATAGTAATAGATAAATACATACATAAAATAATATATAAATACTTCAAAACCACCTATAAGAGCACAATTGAATCATAACATTTGCATTGCTGGAATTAAAAAAAAATGGTTGAAGAGTAAGTGGTTCAGAATCCAACTAGTCTAAGTAATGTGAGGAAATGAGCGGCCAAGTGGACACCAGCCTATGAAGCTGTGTTAGAGGTAGGAATTATTAGTCTACAAGCAGTAAAGGAAAGCTACAGTGAATGTTTAAGTTAAAAAGGAAAAAGTTATTACAATAAAAGACATTATCATGAAAGGCCTGGTGTATTCAAAACAATTCAGTGTATTTTGAGGGGGGTTGATGGCAGTGTACTTTTACTGGAATAAATTGCTTTTATTTAAAGACCATATTTTTGAGCCCATCTCATTGATGAACTGTTTTCAACACTTTCTGTCAAACAAGAACATTACAATATATCCTTATCTACCTTATTCACTGGATCTGGCATTACAGTTTCTGGGTCCTCCCATAGTTATAAGGACCATGAAAGATGAACGTCTAGAATTTACTTAGGACATCGAGGCAGCAACAGCTGTGAAACTAAAGCTGCACAAAAGAAGAAAACTTTCAAAGCTGCTCCAGAAAGTGGCGCACAAAGGGGGTAAGTATGTCGGAAGTGAGCGCCAGTATTTGGGGGGATTATTGGCCATGTATGTTTCACTGTGAGAATTATTTTTAAAAATATGAATATTCACTTTATTTTTCAATCAGACCTGTATAATGGAAAAAAAAATCCTGAAATAACTTGAATCAAAGTGAAGATAACATGAGGGGACTAATTATAAAGAATCCAAATGGAGATAATGAAAATGCATGATATGCAAATGAGCTAAGCCTAATTCTACACGAAGGTGTGAAGAACCCCTTCTGCTCTGACACGGGGCAGAAGATGCTGTGTTGCATGGCGTGTCCTGGTTCTGAGCTCCCACGGCACATCAAGACGTCCACTCAGTTGGCCACAACTGTGCCACGCCCCCCCAACACAAGTGGGCTCAAAAACCAAACAATGACCGTTTCTCGCCCATGAAGACTGGTACTCTCTCTCTCTACTCATTTCACCAGGGCACAACGGAAGCTGCAGCCAACAAGGAGGTCAACCAGGAGATATCTGTCAGCCTCCCCAACACGTCCGGCTACTGTGCTGGCTATGGGCAAGCGCCTCTGCTCTCCCTCTGTGCCCCTCACGGGCCAGCAGCTCTACCAGCAATGCCACCTTCTTTACATAGAATAGAAGCAGAAGCTCCAAGCCCCGTGTTCCCTGCTCTAAACCCACACATCCTTGTGTCACAATCCCGTGGCTAAAGCAAGTCACAAAGCCAGCCCGGCTCAAAGACTGGGGAAACAGGCCCCACGTCTTTGAGAGAAGAGCATCTACAAAGATTCTGGGAAGCATACCTTTGGATACTTAAGAGAGAACAGAGGATGCACAAAGAAACAGAGATTCAAGATGTGATAGAAAGCAAGTGGTATATATATTTATATGGAGGCAGATAGCAATGACCGTAGAAATAATAACACAAACTGACATAGCATTTGTCAGGGTCTGTTAAAGGTATTTGCATATTATTGTTTATTCCTTGTAGACATCCTTTGAAGTTGATGATTTTTATTACTATTTTACTCACCAAAACCAAATACAGAGAAATTAAGAAATTTCACCCCATGTGCTGCAACTAGCAAGTGGTAGGACTGCTAGTCAAAGAGAAGTAGACTTTAGCCTCGATTTCATACTTTTTACCCCTAAGGTATTCTTATAAAAAAAAAATGCAATCCCAAAGTAACCTCATATGTGTTTTCCACAATCTGGAAGTCTTATTATTAGGCTACTAAAATTTTTAAAATAAGTAGAATGCAGTAATAGTAAATATTCTAAAACAATTTTGTAAGTTTCATTCAATGAAGAATTTCCTATCTGGAGCAATTTCATCACTAAAGAAGTGTCTGAAATCGCCCCAGTTAGGCCTTTACCACTGGTTTTATTAGTACTGTAGTAGTAACTGAACCGCATTAGTAAAACTAATGACACATAAGCATGCACCGGTCAGCAGTGCAGAAAGAAGCAGATTGCTCTGAATAACCTCTTGAGCAGTGTCCACACCGCTTCTTCACTTCCCCTCAAATGGTTAAAATGTGGTATGCACATGCGCCAATTTCACAAGGTGAATGTGATGATTCTGCATTGCAAACATCACTAATAAAAAAGTTTGAAATGACTATTAGAAAGATGTGCTCACGTAGTGTATGAGTGACTTTTGAGAACTCTGTAGAAGGACTATAGGTGTGTATTTTGCAGTAGGTCTGGGGAAATTAAAAGGACATGTGCTACCTCAGTGTCCATGAGCATCTTGTGCACTCCATCCCTGTTCCTCATACCTTACACCCCAGTAGTGTCCTCCATCACTGTGACAACCAAATTGCTCCACAGATATCCACGTGTCCCCTCTGCTGGTCCCACACACAGGGCCCTGCTCCGTGTGACGGGCTCCCCACCTCTTTCGTCCCATCTGTTACCACCCTCCCCTGTTCATCTTTTCCCAGCATGCTGCTTTCTGTATTGTTGTCCAGCGCGCCACCCACGCCCTGGATCTTCCCTTCTCTGGTTCGACCACCGCCTTTCTTCTTGTCTTTCCCTTAATGCTCCACTATTGTGGATGTTTGGCTTGACCACCCTCTATGCATTATAAATATTCCCCCTCCAAACCAGCATTCCTCCGTTCCATCCGCTTTGCTTTTTCCATACGGTCATTTGTAGGGTAGGATAGCACGATGGTTCAGCAGATGATCTTTTCCTGGGTTTGGAAAACTGCAACTTGATAGCTCTGTGCCGCTGAGCTGGTCGCTTAGCTCACTGTGTTTCCATTCTCCCATTTGTGAAATGGTAACAGTGGTAATAATACCTAGCTTAAAAAATTGGTTTTTGGCCAAATGAATCAATGCGTATGAAATTCTTAGATCAGTGCTTACATACAGATAAATCACATATAAATTGTGTTATGCTTGTCTTATGCATTTATGAATCAGCTCCATGAGGGCAAGGACCTGGATTTACTTCTGTACATCTGTGGCCCAGCAGGGTGTATGGAAGATGGAAGGTCCATGGTGCATATCCATGAAATAAATGGACAGATAAAAAGTTATATCTTAAAGCTAGAAAAAGCTCATTCACATTTGACTAAATGAAAGAAAGGAGCTGTTGTTTTCCAAATGGGACCTGGGAAATGCCAAGGAACCTGCATACAAAGTGATGTCATAGGTAACAAGGAACTGAGCTCATGTTTTCTTGGGCGGTTTTCTCCCCCAACCCGTATTATGTCATTGGGTCTCTATCGGTAGCAGTTACCTAGGCAACCCTTTAAAAAATGCAAACAAAAAGCAGAAAATGTAACAATTCCTTTATGAAAATAAAACCCTTCATAGCTGAATGAAAAACCCAGACGTTTTTGTTTTCAGAAGTATGTTAATACACAAAAATATAAATGCACATTTTAAGGGCTGTGCATAAATTTCTTTTTTCTTGAATTTGCATCCAAAACAGAAGCTACCGTATGACCTAACCCTGATTACCTTCTTTTGGCAAAGGGAAGAATTAATATTGAATATCTGAGAGATGATCATCTATAGACAGGGTGTGAGACCTTCATTTCCCTGAATGGCTTTTGAAGGCTAGTGTAACATTTTATACTCAACTGCAGAATTTTTTTAAAAAAACGTCTTTTATTAGTCTTCTGCTGTGACTTAGTGGGGATGAGTTGAAGAGTAAAATATTAGGTGTGGAAATTCAATTTTGAACAAGATATTTTTATTGAGAATTATTGCAAAGCCCAAACTCCACTATGTGACTTCACTCTCATTAATTTTCATATTTGAAACATTTGGCAATTCACTGCCACTAAAATATTTCCTTAATTTGCAAAACTATTACCATTTCCCAATAAAAAGTTGAAGCTTAGTTACAATTTGTATGCAAGCTCTACTATCTATGAAAACGTCACTCATTAGGAATACAAGCAAAACACGTTTTCGATAGACTTAAACTAGTATTCAGTTCTGACTCACTTATCTGTATCTCAGTTTTCTCAGCTGGAAAATTATATTTTTGGAAAGCATTATGACTGTGGACATGTTCTGCATACTTTTCAGAAAAATAATGCTAATAAAAATGACATAAGCATTCTCTTCTTGAGCATATCCCATAAACTGGGCAATGCATTAGCATCTCATTTGATCTTTGAAACAGCCCTGTGGAACTGGCAGCATGATTTTTCAATCTACAACAGGGAAAACTGGTGTGTCTGTAACCAAAGCTTAAGTTTTTCCCCCAGAGTGTTAATCCTTTTATAATCATATAGAATTGTCTTGAAAACTCAGTGAGTCAGTGAGTATTCTTCAACCACCAGGCTTTATTATCAAGGTGACGTATATTCTTAGAGGACTAGAAAAGATAATGAACACCTTCTAGTAGAGTGAAAATAGCAGCTCCTGGTGAAATGGAGAAAAAGGCACAGCTCTCTTACCTCGTAGGTGCTGGTGATGCCAGATCTGTAGAACACAGGGAGAAAAAACTCTGATGTGAAGATAATAACGAATCCATAGGCAATGAAGAAGAGGATGAAGGAGGCCCCGAAGCGGTAGACCTCAGCAGGGGTCCCCAAGACAGTGACAGCTGACATGAAGCTGGCTGTTAAGGACAGGGCTACAGGACCAAAGGACATTTGCCTTCCCCCTACCAAGAATTCCGCAGATGTTGCCTTTTTCCTCTCCTTAATGGCAAAGAACACCCCGATTCCAGAGGAAACAACAAAGAGGGCTGCAAATACGACATAGTCCCAAACTGCGAAGTTCTTCACCTCCATGCCGGGAACACCACACTAGGAAGTGCCTTTCAACCAGGTCCCTGCTGGATGTTTCCCAAGGCAAAGCTCAAGACAGCCGGAGCGTTTCTGAGAGGAAGCTGCAGTTCCTTCAGGAGGATGAGGACCGCTGCATGGATCTCAGACACCAAGTTACACCAGAGGAAGATCTTCAAAGTACACTGTGGAAGACAGTTCTAGGAGGAACTGGTGCCCTGAGATAAGGACTTGTGTGCAGAATGATCCTGGCCAAAAGCTGCCTGTTCCTCTCCTGAAGTGTCTACTAGAGCGAAGGAAATTGAATGTGTTCTGAAATTAATAACTCCTGGGGGTGGAATGGGCTTGGCAGATACTGTGCTCTTTTATCTCCTAGAATTTTCTTTCCCCAAGTTAAAGTTAAACATTACTGAGCAGGACAGAAATGATAAAAGCTGACCACCTCAGCATTTTCAATTAGGGAAATGCACTCTGTAAAGTGTAACCCAAGCCTGAGAGGAGTCTCTGTCCTGAGGAACAGAGGGTGCAGGTGAGAGCCTGCAATTGCCTGAGTCAGTGGGTACGGAGGGTAAGGAGCAAAGAGCTGGAATCCAGAGCCCTGTGTTCAGACCCTGGGTCAGCCACAGGGAGCTGCGTCTGACAATGCATTTCTCTTCTGAGTGCCACCTGGGGCCCCGGGACCGGGCTGACAAAATTATGACTCTTTGAGTCTCAAAGTTCCTGACCTTCTTTGTCCTAATCTGTAAAAGGAAAGGAAACAGTATCCACCCTCTGCCCTAATTTGGAGGGTTTACAGTGAAGCATTCCTGAATGTAAAATTTGCCTTGACTCAGAAAATGGATTCATCATGAATTAGTAGACCATTCGTAGCCCTCAACTTTATCTCCTCCTGTCCATCATTTCACCAGTTACTTTACTTGCACCCAGAGCTTCAGTCAAATCAGCGCAAGACAAACGAGAGGAGGGTGGTAAAAACCAGTCACAGATGCCTGCTTCTGCTTTTGCAAAGCTGACCTGCTCGGAATCACTTCCCACAGGCTCCTGCTGGGACAGTGTCCCTTTTTTGCTCAACATCTCCTCTCTTCTCAGGTGTCTTCCACATCCACACCTGTACCAGGCGAGATCTCCTTGTGTCTCCCCAGCACTGGGTAGCCCTCCGCACCCCTCAACCTCAGTTTCTACAATGAGCTGCCTCCTTTGCTGCTTGCTTGTGCTGCCTTTAAACACTGCAATCGTCCTCAGCAATTTGAAGCCATCTTGGTGTGGGTCTTTAGGAGTGTGAGGTCACAGATGACCAATTCCTGAAAGACAGAAGCAAAAGGCCAAGTCCAGTGATGGTGAACTCATGGCACACATGCGGCAGCAGGCTGTTTGTTATCATTGAAACCTCTAAAAGCTTCGCCATCACTGGCCTAGTTCTTGTGTCCATTAAACAGCAGCCAATACAGAACATAAGAGAGTAATAAAAACAAAAACAGTAGAACACTATAATCATCCACGAGGCCTCCAAACAGAGACACTTGTAGTGGAACATTCTGACATCTGGATAACTGAGGAACTCTGACTGTTTGTTTTGTTGGAAAACCATCTTTCCCCTTCCAATAGGCTCCATGGATTTGTATCAGATCTGAGAAAGTTCTGGAGTTCGCTTGCAGTTATCAATAAAGGTATGCAGGCTATGCCTAGATCTGTCTGTACTTTGTTATTTAAATGTCTCCTCTAGATGTGTGGTTTTGATATAATCAGTGTTTACGGACAAAAAGGTCTTTATGATTTTTTTCCCTAGTGCAGGCTTTTCATTATTTTTATTTTGTTTCATTCTGTCTTTCAGGAATTGGTCGCCTGTGACATCACACGCCCAAAGACCTGCGCCAAGATGGCTTCAAGTTGCTGAGGACGGTCGCAGCGGTTACAGGCAGCACCAGCCAGCAGCGTGAGGAGCAGGCACACTTTGTTTTGTTGTGTTTCACTTTATGGCACTTGGCAGATATTGCTTGTTTTTTGTTTTGTTTTGTTTTGTTTTGTTTTTTTTTTTGGTTTTTCTCCGGTGCCGGGAACCGAACTCACAACCTTGCGCATGCCAGGCTGCTCGTTTTGTTTTCACAGATTGAAGACTTGTGGTGACCTTTCATCAAGTAAGCCAGTTGCTACTATTTAGTTTTGTAACAGCATGTGTTCATTTGGGGTCTCTGTGTCTTGTTTTGATTATTCTTGCACTACTTGAAACTTTTTAACTGTTGTTATACCTGTGAGTGTGACTTGGGATTGCTGGTCTTTGATGTTAGTGAAGTCATTGTGCGGAGGTGCACATTTATAACCCGTGAGACCACAGAGGTGGTGAATGGTTGAGTTCCGACTGCTCCACTGACCAGCCAGGTCTTCCTCCATCTCTCTCCCTCTCCCTTGTCGTGGGCTGAGATACAACACTAAAGGCCGATTACTAAGCCTGCAATGACGCCTGTGTGTTCTAGTGAAGGGAGCCTTGTGTGTCCTCCCTAAAGCCATCAGGCAGGAAGGATGATGCTTAGCGAAGTGAGCATTCCACGCCAAGATGGCGGAGCATCTGTGCCTCTTGCACAAGTTACCTGAGTCACAAACACTGAGGAAATGTTCTTGAAGGACATTCAAAGTGCTATTCCCACAGACATTACTAATCAAAATTGCCTCATTGCTGTTGTAGAGAGAGCTTTCGTGTTTGGGGTAAACGATCAAGTCAGTCACAACACTCCCTTAATCTAAGACCTGCTCCAAAGAAAGGCCGTAACTCTTCAGTTCCGTAAAGGCTGAGAGAGGTGAGGAAGGTGCGGGAAAGTGTTTGGAGTTAGCAGTTTGTCCTGTGAGGTTCAAGGAATGAGGGGATCTCCACAACATAAAAGTGAAGGTGAAGCCGCAGGCACTAACGCAGAGGCTGTGTCCAGTTTTCCGGAAGATGGAGCAAAGTTCAGTGATGAAGAGAGCTCACTAAGTAACAGATCTTCAATGTGGATGAACAGCCTCTCATAGAGGAAAAAGCCACCTAGGCCTTTCATCGCTCTAGAGGAAAAAGCAAAGCCTGTCTTCACAGCTTCCAGGGAAGGATGACTCTTGCTAGGGAGCAATGCAACTGGCAGCTTCAGCTGAAGCCCAGTGTTCACTCCATTTCTGAAGATTCCTAGGCCTGAGAAATCATGCTGCATCTATTCTGTGTGTGCTTTATAAACAGAACATGAAAGCTTTGATGACAACACATCTATTTACAGCATAACTTACCATATAGTTTAAGTCCACTGTTGAGGCCAATCGCTCAGAAGAATATATTTCTTTCAAAGTATCTCTGCTCATTAACAATGAACCTGGTCACCCAAGACTCTGCTGGGAAAATCTGAGTTTAGTGTTTTCTGCCTGAAAATTCATCATTCATTCTGTAGCCCATGGATAATGCAAAAGTAATTTCAACTTTCAATTTTTATGATTTGAGAAAGTCGTTTCACACGGTTATACCTGCTGGCTCAAGTCAGAATTCCACGAATGGACTTGGGGAAAGTAAGCTGAGAACCCCAGGGAAAGAACGCACCATTCTGGACATCACGAAGAATATGAGTGAAAGCAAAATGTCAACATCTCCAGGGAACTTGGAAGTTGATTCCATTGAATGGACGATTATGAAGGATTCATGGATGTCAGTGGAGGAAAAAAATCCAGATGTGGTAGAAATAACGAAAAGGTTAGAAGTGAGGCCTAGAGTGTGACCGAGTTAATGAAATTTCCTGATGAAACCTGAATGCACCCGGAGTTGCCGAGTTTGGATGGAAGGAAAGAGGGGGTTTCTTGAAATGCAGTCCGCTACATATGAAGATGCTGTGAACGCTGTTGAAATGACAGTGAGGAATTCAGAATATCGTATCAACTTACTCTCTGAATTGGGAGCAGAGCTTGAGAGGGCGGAGTCCAGTTGGGGAAGAAGTTCTTTCTCTACTCTGGGTGCAATGCTATCCAATCTCTTTGCATGCTACAGAGAAATCACTCATGAGAGGAAGAAGCAATCTATGTGGCAAGCATTATTATCTTATTTTTTAAGATTCATTTCTGTAAGACATGAAGTCTACATTCATCTTACAGAACAAGTGCAGCTACAAAACACATCTTAATTCTTTTTTATTCCCCTCTCCCTCCCTCCCTCCTTCTGTCTCTAAATCATCTTTCCCCATTTTCATTATTATTGTTTGTCGTGTCATGCTTAGTCCATATGTGCAATATACAGTGTTTACATTCATTGTGGGTATTTGGTACCTGTACATGACTCATCTTATATCATTTTCCTCCTTCTTCCCCTCCTCCTTTCCTTCCCCTCAGTCTCTCGGACCCTTTCCCATTTACTTGCAAAAGATCTATCTCCCAGTTTCCCCCAGCAACCCTTTGTTTTGCTGGTTATTTACACTTTGCCTCATTCCAGTGAGAGATAGCACATGGTATTTAAACTTATGTGTCTGACTTACGTCACTTAACATTATATTTTCCAGGTGTATCCACTTTCTTACAAGTGTCTCCACCTTCTTCTTTACAGCCAAGTAGTATTCTATGAGTGTGTATGCAGCAAAACGGTTATGACTCATGAACGTTCGAGTGATCATTAACATTTTTATTAATAAAATACTTTTAATCATATATTTATTTGCCATTTGTATCTCCTTGTCTGAGAAGTGTGTATTCATCTCCGCTGCCTATTTTTGGATTGGGTCTTTGAATTTGGAGGGGCTGATATTTTTTAACTCTTTATATGTTCTAAATAGAAGCCCTTTGTCTGAGGGACAATCAGCTAAAAGTTTTTCCAAGTTTATGGGTTTTCTTTTTACTCTGCTGGTGATTTCTTTAGATGTGCAGAAACTTTTCAGTAGGATGAGATCCCGGTTGTTGATTCTTTCAAGTGTTTTATGTTGTAAAATGTTGTCTGTCTGTTAATGTTTTTCCTCCTTTTATTTTTAAAATAAAAAAAAAATACTTTTAATCAAGGGCTGTACTTTTTAAACCTAATGTTACTGCATAAAGTATAGATTTTGGTATTATATAAACATAACTTTTATATGTGTGGGGAAATGACCAGATTCATAGAGCTATCTTAATTGCTTTAGTCACTTTATTGTAAAAATTTGAAACGAGTGTGAAATATCTCTGAGGTACACCCATTCTGGTTATGTAACAGATCTTTGCTGTAATGGTCTCAGCAGAAAATCACAACCTCAGCTGACTTTCAGACTTTAAAAGCTTATATTAAATATTACCACCTAACTGTTAATATTCAACCCATAATACATGCAAGCAACTTGTAAGAATCAGGGTAATACCAGCCAAAGTAATATCAT